TCGCAGAGAGAGGGTGTTTGAAGAAAGGGTTTGGTGTTTGGTTGCATAGAGGAGAGAGTTGCAGAGAGAGACGGAGTCGTAGGGAGAGAGGCAGAGAGGAAGAAGAAAGGGTGGGTGGGTCCCACCACTCTGTTTATTAATTTTTTTTTTTTCATTTTATATGTCATACTATTGTATTTTACAGTATTTAATTATTTTTAACATATGAAATGACCAATTTGCCCTCATATTTAACAGCAAATTGGATGAAATGTTCGAATTTTTACGGTGGGGGGAACATTGATAATAAAATTTAATTCGAGCCTGTAATTGGCTAAAAAAAAAGGTCAGGGGGTAAATTGAGAGTTATGTACAAGTTCAGGAGGCAATTCGGCAGTATACCCAATATAAAATGCAAATCCCTAACCCTCCGTTTGGATGAAGCAATTGAAAATTACGTAGAATTCTAAAATGACAGAATTTAGAATTCCATCATTTCAATTTCTAGCAATTGAAGATTTTAGTGTTTAGATAAGTATGTCGAATTTTGTAAATAACGGAATTTTGTAAATGGCACCATGAAAATTATGAATTGACGCCTATTTTGGTGGGAATTAAACTCGGGAATTTGATGCCCCAATTTCCATGATTTTTTCCTTGAGTCATTTAATAAATTCCACTCTTAAGTTGCCAAACAAGGGAATTATCAATTTCAACTCTTAAATTCTCGACTTTTAGCTAAATTTAGAGTTATTTTCCCTCATCCAAACAGAGGGTAATTGATACATAAACCCCAAAAAATCCACAAATTGAAGGAAGAGAAGAGGATGAAAACAGAAACAAAGAGGATGCTGAAGAAAATAGGAGCTTTTTTTTTCTTTCTTTTTCTTTTTTATCCAAAAAAAAATCCATTAAACAACCAAAACAGCCCGAAGCAAACAGCAACATGCCAACATCGAAAACAAGAAGAAGAAACTAAGAAAAATAGGAAACAGTGGCAAGGAAAAGAAAAAAACCCATAAATATAATATGTAAAAATATTTGTGAGGCCATACTTTCGTTTCGTAGTAAGGGAGGGAAGGGCTTCTTCAGAAAAGTTTGAAGGCGGCGATTGTTGGGCAACCAAAGCCCAATCTTTATGCGCACAGCGGACCGGAAGTATATAAGTTGGTCCAAGAGATGAACGCAAACCCTTCTTCTCTGCTACCGCTATATCCCGGCTCAAGCCCTAACTCGAGAGCATTCCTTTCGTCCAGTCCGATCCGATCCTTCCCAATGGCTGAAGCTGCTCATCCCATAATGAAACTCCTGTTATTCTCTGGAATTTCTGTAATGAGTTATAAAATTTATAGTCTCACAAATGAAGCAACGACACTGATGCTAGAAGCGGACAAAAACATGGACGAGTTTGATAGGTAATTGTTAATCATGTTGGTTCTTCTGGTCTTTGCATCTCTATATTGACACACAGACGTTCACACCTCAGGAATCACCGGCATTTATAGTTTGACTTTCCTTGTTTTCCAATAGGACCTATGATAGCGTTACAATTTACGACATCATCGATGTGTACCGGGAATGGAGGGAAAAACAAACCTTTCTGGACACCATTGCGTCTGCACGCAGATCCAGGTAGGTATATCGCAGTTAGTTATCTTGGTTTTGATTGATCTATCTATGTAATTTTTAAATGTTGGCCTTTTGGGCACTCCACCACTCTTAGGTTTCTTGCTGCACTATTTTAGGTTTGCGTGACTTGATTACTTTATATATTCTTTGCATGCAAATCCCCCTCAACTGATTCAACACCCAAACCTGAATCAGTAACTCAAAATCGTCACTCAAATCCCCCTCTCTCTCCCTCTCTTCCTTTTTATTAATTTATTTTTTCTGGTAATCTCTCTTTAATTTGATTGCATGTCTACTTCTGCATTTCTCAACTATCTTCTTCGCTCTCTTCCTCTACTACTCCATAACCCATCTCCCTCTACAGCTCGGTTCCTTCAGCAACTCTCTCTGTAATTTCTTCACTTCAAGCCATGCTAGTACATAAGTTGCTTGTAAAATATCTGATTTCACCAAATAAGATAACTACAACGAGATCGAGATATTATATTGGTTTTGTTATGCTAGTACATAAGTTGCTTACCCACTGTTATTGTACTGGTTTTGTTCTGCATCCACTTATTTCCTTTTGTTTTTAGCATGTATAGTCGGACTTGACTTGTTTGTGTGTGAATAGGGATGCTAGTGTGGGGAAGATGCCAGAGGAATAGTTTTGTGCTTCAAATACTGATCGCCCGAGCCTCATCTCTTCCATTACTTGTTTCTATGTTCCTCAATTTGTTAGTGTAGATATACATCCCCTTTTATATGTAAGCACATGAAATTCATTGCTGGTTCATAGGGGAAGGGAAATATGATCAGAATATGTATGGATTGTGTATTTCGTCATACCAGCGGATTAAGTATTGGGCTTTGTGTCATTTTCTTTTCAAATGTATTATGTATTGGTTTACAACGGCAATAAAACTTTTCATGTGGTAGTATGTATTGTATTATGTATCTTCTTGATCTCACAAGAAGTTTGTAAAAATTTTCTCAAAACTTGTATTAAGTATTTTAGGACTATGTGCAAAAATCTCTTTTATCTTTTATTCAGTCAAATGAAGTGTACATCTTCTTTTATACTAAACCTTTAGAATGCTTTTTTTTCTCGGACAAGACATGGGTTATTTTGCATGCGTATGGTGAGAAGCATATGTTGCTATCTATTGCAGCCGAAAGATCTTCTTTTAACAAAATGTATCAACACATCATATCAATTTGGGAGAAGATTTAATCATATAAATCTTCTATTAGGAGAAATAGAAGATTTAAAAATCAATACGTATTGCGCAACTTAGACCATAGCGAGAAATAGAAGATTTAAAAATCAATACATATTGCACAACATACTTAATAAATAAGATCCACAACCACAAATATGCATCTCATCCCATGTCATCACCTGCAATATGTTATTATATAACAAACAAAGAGAAGAGTAAGTAAGAGTAAATAAAGGATCAAGCAAAACAAAAACACACATTTGGAAGTGATTCTAGATAGACGAATAATTTAAGTGATTTTATGGAGAAGCACATGTGAAGTGTTTCTCCCCATAATCACTTAAAATAACTAAAAAGTGATTCCTTTGAATAAGCACATCCGCAAAAGTGATTCCAGACAAATCTAGATGTAAATACGAAAATACACAAAATAAAATAAAAATAAACAGATTAAACCTTCGTCCATGGGTATTTGAAGCAGAAGACTCTGTAGCTCCATTATCACTAATAAAAACAAACAAACTAATAAAAAGAAAGAAAGAAAAACATAATAAATGAAATATAATAAAATCAAAAGAAGTCCACCTTCCAATAAATCCACGCAGTAATTCATTAATCTTTCTCAACTTTTCGACTCTCTTCAGATCACGTGAGAATTCCAATGTCAAGAGTAAAAAAATTGGAGTGGCTCTCGACATAAACTGCACTGAGCCGCGTGAGAGGAAGATTTTAGAGAGAGAGCCACAGCGCTCCATCTACGCACAAAACTATACAAAGATAGTAGGTTGGGGTGTTAGGGATTTAGGGTTTGGGGTCGATTCGAACCTAAAATAAAATATAAAAAATCCAACAACATAAATAAATTAGAATTTCTTACAGTACATAACAGATGCTTCACTTTCATTCAGTTTTTCATTTGAATTCAGAAATCTATACACGGACCCACACACATCATCAAACTCACAACAATAATACTGGAAAAAGAAGCAGAAATACACGGGTTTTTTTTTTCTTTCTATTTCAGAGAGAAGCTAGCTTATTTGTTTCTCTTTAACAACCCAAAAATAGTTCAGAAACCCGCCGATCTAAAACAACCCAAACAAAATAATCAGAAACCAATAGAATAAACGAAAATTGGACAATGAATTCCTTCAAATGCAAACTAAGCGCAGGGAAAAGAACCAACCTTTGAATCCGATCTGGGTATCGAGACCAACCCTCTTGTTATTTGTTGAGAGGCAGACGAGAAAGAGAGAGAGTCGAGAGGTAGACGGAGATGAGACCAAAGCAGAGGGAGTAAGTGTCAGAGTGTGTGTGCGTGAGCAAAAGGCTAGGGTTATAAACTTATGAACGAATTTTTATATTATAGGGTTATTTGAGGGATGGGGGCGCTCAGTCGTTGGATCTCTTTTAATGAGATCTTGCGGCTGTGGTTGTTTTAAATGTTTTTACCGTTTTCTCTCTTACGACCCGCAAATACAATCTCCCGAGAAAAGCTAAGGCGCACATGCAGAAAAGAATGACAGAAGGGGAAGAAATCACCCTTCTACCATCGCGAGCTGAAGCGCAGACTCGCCGTTGCGAGCTCAGCTTGCGAGATTCCTATGGCAATCAGGTATGAGTATCAATGGCCATGGTCTTTTTTTTTTCCTCTCTCTTTTCTCCATCTGGGTTGTGGTTTTCAATTTGGGGTTTTGAGATAGGTTTCTAATCTGGTTTGAAGATTTCTGAGCAAGCTGTTGAGATTACACCTGATTTCTTGTGGGTTTGTTGATTTCGATTATCATGTATATCTGATTTCTGAGCGAGTTGTAATGGATATGAGAAAACAAAAAACCATTTGAACTTCTTGATTATTGGAATAAACTTTGAGTTTTGAATTTCTATTCACGTTCATGACAATTTTCTCTACTTTTTGTTGATTTTTATTGAGTTTCATTCATGCTTCTCATTCGTTTTTTTTTTAATAAAGAAAAATGACTGGCAGTGGGTTAGTTCTAGGACTCACTAATCTGCAATAATAGAGAATGAGTTTGTAAAAATTTAGGTGATTTACTTATTGTTGTTAAGTTAACAGATATAACTGTTTGAAATGGAATACAGAAAAATGGCCTCCCTCCTTAGCTTCCTTGCGGTTGGTTGTCGGCAAGGACAAAGGGGATCAGAGTGCTGCTGGGGTTTTTTAGGCTGTCTTGTATAATTATTTGGTTATTTATTGGGTGGGTTTTCTGATTTGGTGCTTTGGATTCTGTTAGGGTTTCTCAGTCCTCAATTAGAATATTTGAGGATTGATTAAAGGCATATCCTTGGGAAAGAAGAGAAAGTCGAAGGCCACTAGCCTCGACGATAGTGGAGCGAGTCATGTACACCTCCTTATGCAGCCCTACTAATTCCCTCTTTTAGCTTTACATTCAGAACGTGAAGAACCAAAAGCTCATTCCAAGCCGGTGAACGGACGCCCTTGTACGTCTCTCTCACTCTCTCTCTCTCTCTCTCCCCTTTATGATGTTCTTAATTGTTATTAATTCATCTTATCGCAGATTCCATCATTCAGTTTTGATTCTTAATCAAGATCAAATTAAAGTTTTACTTCATTTTTTTTATTTATAGTTTTTATAATTATTGTTAGAAATTGGGGAATCATATATTGTGTGGTTCATGGTGTGTGTTTTGTTTGGTTCATGAGTCAGTACATTTTCTTGATTCTTGCTATTATTCTGGTATCTCAGTTGTATTTCGTGTTCATTTCTCTAACCTAAAAACCATCTAAAGCTCTACATGATCTGTAATATGATTCACCGCAGCTGGACCTGCATTGGCACTATGGGTCCACTCACTTCCTTAAAGATACAGAAACTAAAGGTCAAATCTGTTGTCTATCAAATTATCACAGCTTTTTCATATTAAACTACTTTACTATGTTTTCTGTCTGCCTTTGAACATTCAGATGGTCGTTTTCTGTTGTATGTCTTGAATTTGATGAAAATGACATTGATTCTCTATTCGAAACAGTGTCATGCAAGCAGCAGACCGCTGAGTATTGTAAGGGTATTTGTAGAGACTTACGAACGTTGAGTTGCAGAGACTTACAATGCTTAGGTGTATTTGTACTCCCCTCATATATTTTTGGTTAGAAATCAACATTGGTTCTCACTAAGTACTGAGCTAATTCTTTGCACTTTCTGTTTTGTCATTGGTTTTGTTCATTTAATATGAAGAGAAGTTTTTCCAGTTATTAGGAAGAAGTTATTCCTAATATTATTGAGTATTTATCTGCTGATCAGACTAGCAATGATTTGTTCATATTCACAGCAGCTTTTGGAAATCCTACGTAAAAAAGCCAATGCTATTGGTTGGACCAAGCCTTGGTGCTGTTGTTGCAATTGAATTTGCAGTCAACCATCCAGAACCTGTAAGTGATCTCCATTGTTCTCATTGAGCAATACTAGCTAGCACATTAATCACAACTGATTTCAATTACTTCTTCTGTTCTCATTGATGAGCAACCGCGCATTGTTGAGCAATATCGTCCTTGTGTTGTAGGGACTGAAGAAGATAATTAGATAGAGGAACCTTCAGAGCCTAACAGATATGCTGTCATTGCCAAAGACATATTTATCATTTATTTAATTTGATGCCCTCTTTACAGTGACTACATTTAAAAACAAAACTAGCCCATTTAAAAACTTTTTTGTATACTTGTAACCAAATTTTCTTTAAATAATCATAAATATGGTTTGGGATATAAAACTAGGTTCATGTTTAAAATTTTGTTAGAACAAAACTGCAGATGTTTCTCAACCTCGGCCTTGAGCCAAGGCAATCAGTGCGACCCTAGGCCCCATCTTAAGGGAGGTCCCAATTTTTAGAACATCAAATGATCTTTCCTAGGCCTTAAAATTTCAAAGAAAATTAAAAAAGAACTGATTTTCAACGAACAAATACCATAATCATAAAGGAGAGTACATCATACGCGCATAAACTATGAAAATTTGTTGTCATCCTGAAACAGGACCAAGTACAGTGTAAATAATTTCATAATAAATCTCAATAAAAGAGAGTGAATTAGACTCTAAACTTAATCCCTCTTGTATACCTGATAACCCTACCTTCATAACCTTTCTCGGTGGAAAAAAAAAAATTGAGTATAAGTAAGAGATTCAAAATCAGTAAACAAGACCAGAAATAGGCAAATCAAAGTACTAATGAAGACAAAAAAATTAAGAAGAAAATTAAATCACAGAGAAGTTTTGAACAGCTGGTACAAAGAAGGAAAAATCAATTAAATGGTGTTTTAGGAATAATGGTGGGTGGAAATATAGAATTTTGTTTTTTCAAATTTATATGGTGGGTGAAAAGATAAGATGGGTGGGGAAATATGACAAAGAGGTGGAAATAGCAGCACTCTTTTTTAATCGTGTGAGAAGTTTAATTCAATGAATTTATAGCCGGTTTGAAGTTCATATGTATGGATATAATTTGATGTCGTTTGATTTTATGTTTAGAGAAAAAAGAAAAGAAAAAAAAAGAGCCCGGCCCATAAAATGCCTAGGCCCTAAGAACCCAGCCCAAGCCCGAACTTTAAAAATAGGTTGGGGCTACATATTATTAGGTGAAGACGACTGGGGTTAAACCTCAGCCGTTAGAAACATCCAACGGCCGAGTAAGATCATATTTATTTGTTCAACCCTAACCCCAGACCCAATATCTTTCTGTAGTTTTTGGTTTTGTACGCCGTCTGTCTCATCTCATTGAGCGAGTCCTCCTACTACTCCTCCCAATCAATCAATATGAAAGACATTGCTGGTCGTTTGGTTCTTGGTGCCGTTGCATTTATGGCCACTCTTTCTTTTTCGAGAACGCGCGCGGAAGACATTAATGAGCTGAATCGTGTTGTTATGGAAATCAAAGCTGAGAGGTAGTTTCATCATATCTTATTCATTTTGATCACAAGATTTTATTATTATCGTTACTTTTCTTTGTATTCTTTTTGTCTATTTTTTTTCCGTAATCTCTCATTATTTTTTTTCGTCTTCTTATCTTTGTAAATTGGACTTGCCTTTGTATGCAATTGGCAGGAATTCGGGGAGGCACGCACTGCGGACTTCCTCTTTCTCTTCTTCTTAATTTGGATCTTATATTTCCTGTGGGAGTTTATTTTATTTTCCTTTATCATTATAATTAATAAACAGAGTTGCAAATACAGTAACATGAATTGGTTTTAGATCTGCAACATGAATTTGTTGTTTGTTGTTTGGTCTGAATAAAACTAAAACAAGAATAAATTATGAAAGCCTCCCTGGAGGACAAGGGAAAACTCCCACACAAACATCTTACGTGCTTCAGCCTCCGAAAATCGCCAACTTGAAAATACCCACCATCATATTAGTCCTTGTCACCACATCCTTCTCGGGATCATATCATAAAGCCTACGAGCCTCATCAATCTGACCCTCTTGAATCAGGCATCTGCCAAAAGAGTGATTCAGCCTCCGAAATCATGCTCTCTAACCATCGAAGTCCACGATACAACTTTCCTTTCGGGCATCAAATCAAACACTTTCCTTGCCTCAATAATCATCCCATTCTTGACGTAACCGGATATCAAACCGTTCCAAGAAACCGTATTGCTCTCCAGCATTCTATCAAACAGTTTTTGGGCTTCTCCTGGTTGATTACTTTGGAAATAACCTGCAACTATTGAGTTCCAAGACACAATAGTTTTGTCAGGCATTTGATCAAACACCCTTCGGGCTTTCTCAATTTGGCCAAGCCGAGCAAACCGAGCAATTTGAGAGTTTGAGGAAATTGCAAAACCAGTGCCGTATTTCCGAGATAGAATAAACTGATCAAACACCCTTCCTTCTTCTGGTTCTTCGAGTTGTTTGGTGCCGCCATTTTATTTTCAAATGGGAAAACCTGGCCTTTTCATCTTTCTGTCGACAATATGAGGATTGGTGTGATTTGGCCAAATTTTGAACATTAGATTTTTGACTCTATATTTATTATAATTTTAAACAATACCACATAATCTTTCAAATAATTTCAAAATTTCCCCTACCCGTATCTTGACCATATCTTAATAAGTGTTACATCAAAAAAAATTTCAAAGGTAGGAAGGGAGAGTTGAATTTACTCACACACTTGTGCCTAGGGGTTTCGAATCTAAGACCAATAGTTTTAGACCAAACATACTTTTCCACTATAATATGACCCCATTGGCTCATCATATCTATAATATGCTCATAATGTGGTTCTATACAGAGTCCTAATTGATTTTACTTCATCAAGATCCTCAAATTTAAAAAAAGTGCAGCCCTCCTTTTGAAATTTCTGATCCCTGCGATTATTTGCATATGGATTCCTGTCTTGAGATTTCTTCAAACACAATCTGTATATGTCATGCCAATTGTCTTTTCAGTGATTGCCATTGTTTTTCATATTGTCATTACAATGATTTGGTGCATTGGACAACCTCTTGGTTTCTTGGGAGCTCCACCACTTGCAGCCTCAATTTCTCTATGGCTATCTGTTCTTATGTTGGCCTTCAATGTTAATTGTACAAGAAGTTTTGAGTGTACATGGGAAGGGTTTTCATTTGAATCTTTCGATTATATCGTCACCAGCTTAAAACTGTCCCTCCCCTCTGCAACAATGGAATGGGAGGATTGATGCCAAACTCTACAAAAACCACTTCACTACTTGCAATGTGGTAAGCTGCTTTAATATATATTTCTCAGTTTTTTCTACTATAACATATTATTATTCTGGTTACTGCAAGCAGCTTTTGCTCAATTATATCTTCAGTGTGAAATGAATTTATAGCCGGTTCGAAGTATCATATGTACGAATATAATTTGGTGTCGTTTGATTTTGTTTTATAAAAAAAAAAAAAAAGAAGAAGAAGAGCCCGGCCCATAAAATGTCTAGGCCCTAAGAACCCAGCCCAACCCCGAACTTTAAAAATAGGTTGGGGCTACATATTATTAGGTGAAGAAGACTAGGGTTAAACCTCAGCCGTTAGAAACATCCAACGGCCGAGTAAGATGATATCTTTCTTTAGTTTTTGGTTTTGTACGCCGTCTTGTCTCATTTCATTGAGCGAGTCCTCCTGCTACTCCACCCAATCAATCAATATGGCACACCCTGCTGTTCTTTTGGTTGTTGGTGTCATTTCATTTAATGGTTTTCTTTGGTTTTCGAGAACGCGCGATGAAGACATTAAGGATCTGAATCGTATTGTTCTAGAACTCGAAAGAGAGAGGTAGTTTCATCATATCTTATGCACTGGAAGCTTTATTATTTGTATAATTCTCTTATTCATTTTGATCACAAGATTTTATTATTATCGTTTCTTTTCTTTGTATTCTTTTTGTCTATTTTTTTCCTTTTTCTTATCTTTGTAAATTGGACTTGCCTTGTATGTAATTAGGAGGATTACGGAGAGGGAGCAACGCTATGACGCACGATGGAGTTTGAAAAGCGCATCACTCAGGTCTCCTATTTCTCTTCTTAATTTGAATCTTATATTTCCTGGGGGTTTTTTTGATATTTTATTTTCCTTTATCATTATTATTAATAAATAATAACATAACTCATAAACATGGTTTGGGATATAAAACCAGGTTCATGTTCTTACTCTTCTCTTTGTTTGTTATATAATGTGTTGTAGGTGATGTCATGGAATGGGATGCATTTTGTGGTGGTTGGATCCTTGAAATTAGGAGTGTAACTTTCTGGGTCAAGGTGGAGAAAGAGAGCTATGTTCAGGATATTACTCAATTTTTTTCAATTTATTCTTTTCATCAGAAATTGGAAAATGATGAAGAACCCTATGCTCTTTGGGTCTTGATTGACTGCAACATTAACAAGTGCTGCAAATACAGCAACATGAATTGGTTTTAGACCTGCAATATGAATTTGTTGTTTTTTGTTTTGTCTGAATAAGTACTTCATTAAGAAACGCCAAAGTAGCACCAGCAAAACACAGCAAATAAGACAGGCTAAACTAAGCTCCAGATATAGAGCCGAGATAAGCAGCCTAAAAGTCACAAAACAGCTAAACTAAAACAACAATAAATTATGAAAACCTCCCTGGAGGACAAGGGAGGCCATCTAACGGTAAAACTCCCACAAGAGACGGAGGTAGCTTGACAGCTCCGCTCTGATTCCAGTCGCTGCGCCCTTGTGCGCTGTGCGGTTCAAATTCCTTGACACCCAACTCTAATGGACCGATTTAAAACAAACAGAGATCTTCTTAAACTCATTGAGAAGAGGTTGGATTGCCCAAACACAATTTTTTACTCATCTGACTCCATCCACCAGAATCTTCAAATCCGTCTCGAGGATAATGTCGTGAAATTACGATTTAGAGCAAATTTGATTGCGCAAAAGATTACGATTTAGAGCAAATTTGATTGCGCAAAGGCCAGCAGCCGTGATTGCGCAAAGGCCAGCAGCCGCCTCTGGAACTAGAGTCGAGTTGCAATGGAATGAAGTTGCTAAACCACCACAAAAAGATCCGATAGCATCTCTAGCAACTACATTGAGCCCTGCAAAATGAGAGTCCTTTTTCCACGCTCCATCGAAATTTATTTTCGCATAGTTTGACATTGAAGGCCCCCCACCTTGAGCAATCATGTTTTGATCATCTGAGGCATCCCCAAAAGGCACATGTGATTTGGCCTTAGCATCTAA